CGCGATGCATCGCGATAGTTGATTGTAATATGAATAGATCTCGCGTTATTTTGTGAAATATAATGAAAATGTTGTTGCTCAGCAACGTTTACTCGGTACGATAAGAACTGATAACCTAAACAAACGTGGCACGCATTACTTCAAAAGAAAATGCAGCGTTGCGAGTCTGTTGTATAACTAGTCTGAGGTTTAAGGGGCAGCTGTAGGGTATGACAAAGAATTAAAGTATAGGGTAAATTGTCAGTATTCAGTGTTTCATACTTTTTTTCAACCCTAACCCTAATTTGTGATATTTGTTACATTGAACAAACATCAAAATAAATTAACTACACAATCTTGTTGTAAGAGAGCAGAAATCTAACAGTTTCATTGTCGCTATTTGCATTCAACGCAATCGACTGTTGGAAGTCAGTTTGGTAATTTTATTTTAATGATAAATAGTTGATATCGTACCTAATCTGTGTCCCATGTGAAGTTTGTTCATCAAGAAAGTATTTGGTATGTACTGATTTTATCGCATAAATCATACTTTTGAGAGATTACTATGCACCCCTATTCTAGACACCAAAAGGCCAAGCTACAAACAAAATTTTGGGTTTAACATGGCAGTCTGAATGTTACTGTATTTAACAGCTATCCTGTCTGAATGGACCACAGGCAAGTTTGCAAAAAAGTTCCAATTATATAACACACAACGTTCAATTTCTGTGATGTGACGCAATTGTACAAAGATAAGCAAACAGCCCACATGAAGCCCTGTAATGTTGTAATGATCACGCCTACCGGTAGTCAATACATATATAGTGTGACCTCATATGTTCACATTTTTACCAGCCAGCATATGAATGTCTGATGACAAATGCTATTCACTGATCATAACTAGCTTACAGACTGTTGTGACAACATTGTCTACAAGTTGTGATATTAACAGGAATACATACATGTACATTTTAAATGTACAGTAACAGTGTCGAACACCCGGTTCTTGCCAACCACTCACTGTGCACTAACACGTAAATATGGTCCATACATGTACCACATTTGACCTACATATGCGGTTACATAAATAACA